TACAAATGTATTAATTCAAGGATTATGTGGAGTAAAATAAAGGTTGGATGTGAAATGTGGGTTATAGTAAGCATATATGCACCTTGAGAAGAGAGAAGTGCAGAGGAGAGAGAGAGATTTTGGGAAATGTTGAGTGAATGCGTGGGGAGTTTTGAACCAAGTGTGAGAGTAATGGTGGTTGGGGATTTCAATGCTAAAGTGGGCAGAAATGTTGTGGAGGGAGTAGTAGATAAATTTGGGGTGCCAGAGGTAAACGAAAATGGGAAGCCTTTAATTGAGCTATGTGTAGAAAGAGGTTTGGTAATAAGTAATACATATTTTATGAAGAAGAGGATAAATAAATATACAAGGTATGATATAGCACGTAATGAAAGTAGTTTGTTAGATTATGTATTGGTGGATAAAAAGTTGATGGGTAGGCTCCAGGATGTACACGTTTATAGAGGGGCAACTGATATATCGGATCATTATTTAGTTGTAGCTACAGTTAAAGTAAGAGGTAGATGGGAAAAGAGGAAAATGGCAACAACAAGCAAGAGGGAGGTGAAAGTGTATAAACTAAGGGAGCAGGAAGTTCGGGTGAGATATAAGCAACTATTGGCAGAAAGGTGGACTGGTGCAAGTATGAGTAGTGGGGGGGTTGAAGAGGGTTGGAATAGTTTTAAAAATGCAGTATGTATTAGAATATGGGGCAGAAGTTTGTGGTTATAGGAGAGTGGGTGCAGGAGGAATGAGGAGTAATTGGTGGAATGATGAAGTAAAGGGTGTGATAAGAGGAAAAGTTAGCTAATGAGAGGTTTTTACAAAGCAGAAGTGTTATAAGAAGAGTAGAGTATATGGAGAGTAAAAGAAAGGTGAAGAGAGTGGTGAGAGAGTGCAAAAGGAGAGCAGATGATAGAGTGGGAGAGGCACTGTCAAGAAATTTTAATGAAAATAAAAAATTTTGGAGTGAGTTAAACAAGTTAAGAAAGCCTAGAGAACGAATGGATTTGTCAGTTAAAAACAGAGTAGGGGAGTTAGTAGTTGGGGAGATGGAGGTTTTGGGTAGATGGCGAGAATATTTTGAGGAACTTTTAAATGTTGACGAAGAAAGGGAAGCGGTAATTTCATGCAATGGCCAGGGAGGTATACCATCTTTTAGGAGTGAAGAAGAACAGGATGTGAGTGTGGGGGAGGTGCGTGAGGCATTAAGTAGAATGAAAAGGGGTAAAGCAGCTGGAACTGACGGGATTATGACAGAAATGTTAAAAGCAGGGGGGGGATAGTGTTGGAGTGGTTGGTACTTTTGTTTAATAAATGTATGAAAGAGGGGAAGGTACCTAGGGATTGGCAGAGAGCATGTATAGTCCCTTTATATAAAGGGAAAGGGGACAAAAGAGACTGTAAAAATTATAGAGGAATAAGCTTACTGAGTATACCAGGAAAAGTGTACGGTAGGGTTATAATTGAAAGAATTAGAGGTAAGACAGAATGTAGGATTGCGGATGAGCAAGGAGGTTTTAGAGTGGGTAGGGGATGTGTAGATCAGGTGTTTACATTGAAGCATATATGTGAACAGTATTTAGATAAAGATAGGGAAGTTTTTATTGCATTTATGGATTTAGAAAAGGCATATGATAGAGTGGATAGAGGAGCAATGTGGCAGATGTTGCAAGTATATGGAATAGGTGGTAAGTTATTAAATGCTGTAAAGAGTTTTTATGAGGATAGTGAGGCTCAGGTTAGGGTGTGTAGAAGAGAGGGAGACTACTTCCCGGTAAAAGTAGGTCTTAGACAGGGATGTGTAATGTCACCATGGTTGTTTAATATATTTATAGATGGGGGTGTAAAGGAAGTAAATGCTAGGGTGTTTGGGAGAGGGGTGGGATTAAATTATGGGGAATCAAATTCAAAATGGGAATTGACACAGTTACTTTTTGCTGATGATACTGTGCTTATGGAGATTCTAAAGAAAAATTGCAAAGGTTAGTGGATGAGTTTGGGAATGTGTGTAAAGGTAGAAAGTTGAAAGTGAACATAGAAAAGAGTAAGGTGATGAGGGTGTCAAATGATTTAGATAAAGAAAAATTGGATATCAAATTGGGGAGGAGGAGTATGGAAGAAGTGAATGTTTTCAGATACTTGGGAGTTGACGTGTCGGCGGATGGATTTATGAAGGATGAGGTTAATCATAGAATTGATGAGGGAAAAAAGGTGGTGGTGCGTTGAGGTATATGTGGAGTCAAAAAACGTTATCTATGGAGGCAAAGAAGGGAATGTATGAAAGTATAGTAGTACCAACACTCTTATATGGGTGTGAAGCTTGGGTGGTAAATGCAGCAGCGAGGAGACGGTTGGAGGCAGCGGAGATGTCCTGTTTAAGGGCAATGTGTGGTGTAAATATTATGCAGAAAATTCGGAGTGTGGAAATTAGGAGAAGGTGTGGAGTTAATAAAAGTATTAGTCAGAGGGCAGAAGAGGGGTTGTTGAGGTGGTTTGGTCATTTAGAGAGAATGGATCACAGTAGAATGACATGGAAAGCATATAAATCTATAGGGGAAGGAAGGCGGGGTAGGGGTCGTCCTCGAAAGGGTTGGAGAGAGGGGGTTAAAGGAGGTTTTGTGGGTAAGGGGCTTGGACTTCCAGCAAGCGTGCGTGAGCGTGTTAGATAGGAGTGAATGGAGACGAATGGTACTTGGGACCTGACGATCTGTTGGAGTGTGAGCAGGGTAATATTTAGTGAAGGGATTCAGGGAAAACCGGTTATTTTCATATAGTCGGACTTGAGTCCTGGAAATGGGAAGTACAATGCCTGCACTTTAAAGGAGGGGTTTGGGATATTGGCAGTTTGGAGGGATATGTTGTGTATCTTTATATGTGTATGCTTCTAGACTGTTGTATTCTGAGCACTCTGCAAAAACAGTGATAATGTGCGAGTGTGGTGAAAGTGTTGAATGATGATGAAAGTATTTTCTTTTTGGGGATTTTCTTTCTTTTTTGGGTCACCCTGCCTCGGTGGGAGACGGCCGACTTGTTGAAAAAAAAAAAAAAAAAAAAAAATTATTATTATTAATTTAGGAAACTGGAGCACAGATCCAATTCCCTAGATCAAGAGCCCATCACCACGTACATAATAATAATACAATATAATAATAATAATAATAATAATATAATAATAATAATTAATAATAATAATAATAATAATAACAACAACAGTAAGGAGAAACTTCAGAAGGCTGCCAGTAGGTGGCACCACCATCAGCAAAGCATTGGTAACCACTACTAGTACACTTTTCACCTGTCTAGACTTAGTAGTCTATTAGTACGTATTTGTTTAAGTCTGCCCGAAATGCCTCTGCATGATAGTGGCTTTCTTTGCTCCAATCATATTATGATATGTAACCACACGTAACCTTTGCAAAGAAATAAATATTTTATTTATTTAAGGAACCTTCCTTGAGGGGGAAGTTTACATCCTGAAATTTTGTTCGTATCCAGAAGCAAAAAAATCGACCGAACGACAGTTCGTATCCTGAAAAATTCTTAAGCCAAGGTTCCACTGTAATTGTATAAATAATGTCAGTGCATTCCTAAATGCATATTAGACTGGCAAGCTGGATGTGTATTGGACAAGTGATGTAATTTGTGTACTCTGGAATATCAGCAAAAATCGAACATTTCCGCTACTCTGAGCTCAATTTCAAGCTACTTTAGGTCCTGAAACCAATCAGAATCATCTCTATTTCTGTAATATATCTTCCATTCTATCAAATGAGACCAGGAAACAAACAATACAACCTTAAAACCATATGAAAAACACAGTCACAGTTTTTTCTTCTCGTTATGCACTGCGTGCTGTAGGATTTTTTTTATATGGTGCATACTTACTGCAGAGACCCATTCTCTCATATCTAGGCCCAGATTTACCCCTCACAGCTTACCTGACTGAGCTAAACTCATGGGATTGTACTAAGGGACTGACACTGGGTTCAAAGCCGTTATATAACGGTACCGACATTGAAAGGGTTAAATAAGAACATTCAAGATGGTAATAAATCTATGAGAACTATTGTACCATCTTGCTACTATGGTATATTAATTTTATTGCAATTTGTATAATGCTTTTTGCATTGACAATATTGTACTGGATCACAAATGTCTTAAGGAAGGCTCAATATTTGCAAAATTGATTTACATATCCAAAAAAAAGTACGTGACGTAAGTTAATAAATATAAAACAAACTTATGTATTTGAGCTTAGTAACATGATTTTTCAGTTAAGCTCATTCTTTGAATATATATTATGGGTGTTTCTTTGGTGGTCTGCTTTATTTTTTAAACCATTCCATCTATCATTGAATACCACAGTTCTATCCTTTTTCTCTTTTCTTTTCCTTATGCATTGTAGTTCCTTCTTGTACATTTTCACTTGTATTTAGTTGCTAAGGCAAATCTTATTCTTCCCAATTTTTATTGTTTTAGTTCAAAGAAATAGCAGTTCATTAACTTGAAAAACTAATAAGTGTGTGGAATTCAATGACAAATGGTCTTGTTGTTCCTTTCAAAACCTTTAATGGGTTAAAGGCATTTAAAATGTTTGAGGAAGATTGTGTGGCCAGCCTCCTCCATGTCCCATTCCTCTCAAAAATGGGAAATTTTCAAAAGGGGGGGATACAAAGTCAAGTTATATTAAAATATTTATTAAGGAGTTACTGATACTGAAGGTTAGACAGTACTTCTCTCATGGGACATGCCTTTATGCTGCTGAGAGGTTCTTGATCCAAGGAATTGGAATTGTTCTCCTTGGATTAGACCTGATTGCATCCCATATCCTCAGGTGTTGTATGATCCCTATGGGTTTAGTGTATCCCTATAATTGTAATAATTTTTAAGTGTTTACCTAAATAATTTGTTAAGACAACCTGAGTGTAGTGAAATATGGTAATGTACAAGTTTTATAAAAGGAAAATTTTATCTTCATACTTTTGGTTGTGAAAGTGATAAGTAAATTCTTATTTCAGAGGAAAGCAGTTTGATGCTGGTGTAGTTGGCAAGGCCTTAAAAGGTCCAATATGTACCTATCAGTATTCTGGAGGTGTGAACATGGATCACAGTGATACAGTGGGTTTGGTAGCCACTACAGTTGCTCATGAAATGGGACATAATTTTGGCATGGAACATGACAGTGAAGTGGAATGTGAATGTCCTGATAAAAGATGCATCATGGCTCCATCTTCTGGGTAAGACAGTCTGCAAATTGAGCATTTTAGCAATAGAGTATTTATGAATTAGTCCAATACTCAGTTATTCAAAGAGTTCACAGTACTCTGTATTAATTATTAGCCATTCTCTATTTTAAGTTTTTCTAATTTTAGTGTACTGCAGGCGGAAGTATAATGGTCCACTTCAGCATGTTAGGTTTGTTTACTAAAACATCCCACTTTATCACTCATCCCAACTTTGTCATCTGACTGTACTGCTTGACACAGTAACTGGCTTTTTTTTTTATTGCATGCACACAAATTTTATACTTTAAATAAATTGAAATGCAGTGCCCCTTTTTAAAATAAATTTTATTATTATTCTACATCAACACCTAAACAGACTTGAGTTCATTTTAGTTATTCATCTTTTTTTTTTTTTTAACACGTCGGCTGTTTCCCACCGAGGCATCTTGTTCTTTCTAAATGTTTATATAGCACCAACAGCATTCCCATCTAATATTTTTTCAGTGATTTACTCTGAGTGTCACATCCCATGAGTGATTTTATTTATACTATACTATACGTGCTTCTGTTCTAAGTATTCACTTACTACTTCAAAAGCTGTGTTAACTTCTCAGTGGCATTGATCTGTTTGCTATATACTAATAAAATAAAATACAGTCAGAACCCACTTAACATTATTTATTTGTTTTCTCCACTGATAAAAAAAATAATTTTCCCCATACATTACTCAGTATTTTTTTTGCTGTGCAACCTCCTAAGTGTTCATGGGGGGGGGGGGAGTAAACATTATACATTTTCTTTTTGATCCCCATGTTTAGTTTTCAGTCTTGTATCTCACTCTGGAATAAAATCCCTACTCTCACATTTTATAAACATTTCTTGGAAATAATTGAAGAAAGTGGCTTCATAACAGCAAATGTCTGTTGTTCATCAAACTAGAGAAACGGGATATTCTTCTTTACACATAATTTTTTTATATATGGGTAGGAGTTTCGGTATTAAATGACTTTTTTTATTAATATTCGCAAGTGAATTTAGGTTTGAATGCTTTCCTAATTTTTTCCTATAAGTTTAATTGGCTCAATTAAACTCATTATTTTTGAACCAACTCTGAACATTTAGTGGAACTTACCTGTACAGTAGTAGCTGGCACTCATGTTAACAAATCTTGCCACACAAATCTTGCTTTTAATTCTATTTAAACTAAGTTTTTATTAGTTTCTGTGTCTTTTCTAATTTAATTGAATCATTGCAACACACTTATTACACAGATATTACAGTGAAGAAACTTGTTCACAAACAACATATATTGCACTTGGAATTCAATTTAATTTTGTATTTACTAGTTTCAAAATGTCCCCTCACTTCTTACAATCCATTTTTCTAGTTTTATTATCAGTTATAATTTAAATTTTTTATAATTAATATAACCAAAAAGTTTTGGAGTGAGATTAACAAGTTAAGGAAGCCTAGAGAACAAATGGATTTGTCAGTTAAAAATAGGAGAGGAGAGTTAGAGGTACTGGGAAGATGGAAGGAATATTTTGAGGAATTGTTAAATGTTGAAGATAGGGAAGCTGTGATTTCGTGTATAGGGCAAGGAGGAATAACATCTTGCAGGAGTGAGGAAGAGCCAGTTGTGAGTGTGGGGGAAATTCGTGAGGCAGTAGGTAAAATGAAAGGGGGTAAGGCAGCCGGGATTGATGGGATAAAGATAGAAGTGTTAAAAGAAGGTGGGGATATAGTTTTGGAGTGGTTGGTGCAATTATTTAATAAATGTAGGGATTGGCAGAGAGCATGCATAGTTCCTTTGTATAAAGGCAAAGGGGACAAAAGAGAGTGCAAAAATTATAGGGGGATAAGTCTGTCGAGTATACCTGGTAAAGTGTATGGTAGAGTTATTATTGAAAGAATTAAGAGTAAGACGGAGAATAGGATAGCAGACGAACAAGGAGGCTTTAGGAAAGGTAGGGGGTGTGTGGACCAGGTGTTTACAGTGAAACATATAAGTGAACAGTATTTAGATAAGGCTAAAGAGGTTTTTGTGGCATTTATGGATTTGGAAAAGGTGTATGACAGGGTTGATAGGGGGGCAATGTGGCAGATGTTGCAGGTGTATGGTGTAGGAGGTAGGTTACTGAAAGGAGTGAAGAGTTTTTACGAGGATAGTGAGGCTCAAGTTAGAGTATGTAGGAAAGAGGGAGATTATTTCCCAGTAAAAGTAGGCCTTAGACAAGGATGTGTGATGTCACCGTGGTTGTTTAATATATTTATAGATGGGGTTGTAAGAGAAGTAAATGCGAGGGTCTTGGCAAGAGGCGTGGAGTTAAAAGATAAAGAATCGCACATAAAGTGGGAGTTGTCACAGTTGCTCTTTGCTGATGACACTGCTCTTGGGAGATTCTGAAGAGAAGTTACAGAGGTTGGTGGATGAATTTGGTAGGGTATGCAAAAGAAGAAAATTAAAAGTGAATACAGGAAAGAGTAAAGTTACGAGGATAACAAAAAGATTAGGTGATGAAAGATTGGATATCAGATTGGAGGGAGAGAGTATGGAGGAGGTGAATGTATTCAGATATTTGGGAGTGGACGTGTCAGCGGATGGGTCTATGAAAGATGAGGTGAATCATAGAATTGATGAGGGGAAAAGGGTGAGCGGTGAACTTAGGAGTCTGTGGAGACAAAGAACTTTGTCCTTGGAGGCAAAAAGGGGAATGTATGAGAGTATAGTTTTACCAACGCTCTTATATGGGTGTGAAGCATGGGTGATGAATGTTGCAGCGAGGAGATGGCTGGAGGCAGTGGAGGTGTCATGTCAGAGTCTGAGGGCAATGTGTGGTGTGAATATAATGCAGAGAATTCGTAGTTTGGAAGTTAGGAGGAGGTGCGGGATTACCAAAACTGTTGTCCAGAGGGCTGAGGAAGGGTTGTTGAGGTGGTTTGGACATGTAGAGAGAATGGAGGGAAACAGAATGACTTCAAGAGTGTATCAGTCTGTAGTGGAAAGAAGGCGGGGTAGGGGTCGGCCTAGGAAAGGTTGGAGGGAGGGGGTAAAGGAGGTTTTGTGTGCGAGGGGCTTGGACTTCCAGCAGGCATGCGTGAGTGTGTTTGATAGGAGTGAATGGAGACAAATGGTTTTTAATACTTGACATGCTGTTGGAGTGTGAGCAAAGTAACATTTATGAAGGGATTCAGGGAAACTGGCAGGCCGGACTTGAGTCCTGGAGATGGGAAGTACAGTGCCTGCACTCTGAAGAGGGTGTTAATGTTGCAGTTTAAAAACTGTAGTGTAAAGCACCCTTCTGGCAAGACAGTGATGGAGTGAATGATGGTGAAAGTTTTTCTTTTTCGGGCCACCCTGCCTTGGTGGGAATCGGCCAGTGTGTTAATAATAAAAAATAATAACCAAAACTAAGTGCTAAACCCACCAGGGTCATAATTTAAATATAAAGTGCCTTATAACTCAATCACAAGCCAAAAGTTATCCTAATATACTGTACTGGTAATATTGCTAAAGAGTGAATTATTTTTGATCCTTAGACCTTAACATGAAGCCAGTCACTCTCGCTAATAATACTGCAGTACTGACCATAGGTTTCAAGAGACTGAGGACAGAGAGTAATGGACTTGCTAGTAGTATAACTAGAAGACCAGGACCTTAATATTTGGGATATATAACTTTCTAGCTTATTTACATACTTTCTTGATGAATGGCAAGCAGAAAGACATAATATAGGTAGAAATTCATTATATAAATGCTGTCAAGTAAGGTTAAATACATTATATACTACCTTAAAGTAACAGACAATCACCATTTTTAATTTTAATTTTCAGCTCTAAGAGTCCAACCCATTGGAGCTCTTGCAGTTATGAGTATCTTGCCCTATCTTTTGAGCGTTCTATGGATTATTGCCTGCGGAATAAACCCACAAATCTTTTTGACTCGCCTGTGTGTGGTAATGGGTTTGTAGAACCTGGGGAGCAGTGTGACTGTGGCCTACCAGATTACTGCACCAATACCTGCTGTAATGCTTCAACGTGTATGCTCTACCCAAATGCCACTTGTGCTACAGGACACTGCTGTGATTTAGAGGTTAGTCAAGAAAACAGAATAGTTATACCTTGATTTTTTTTGTTTAAATTATCTTTTGCTAAGTCAGTCATTGCTTATAAATATATGCTGAGGCAATTATTATCTGCTCCACTTTATTATTGTTTAATGAAGACTCATAAGTAACGTTTTCTGTTTTTTTGTGAGATTGATGCGAGTCATGGGAATGGATTTTCCATATAAAAGTGCTCTCCATGGGAAAATGGAAAGCAATTCTTCTTCTGTAAGCGGTGTGTGTCATAAAAGGCAACTAAAATGTCAGGAGCAAGGAGCTAGTAACCACTTCTCCTGTATAAATTGCTAAATGTAAAAAAAAGAAGAAAACCTTTATAATGTTTCTTCTTTTTCAAGTCATCCTGCTGGTGGGAGATGGTTGGTGTGTTAAGGTGAAAGAGAAATCTTATTTAGCTTTCTGAAAATATAATTTTTTAACACTTTGGCCATCTCCCATCACTGTCTTGCCAGAGGTGCACAGATGCTATAGTTCAGACGCCCCTCCAAACTACAGTATCCTCACCCATCTTTCAGAGTACTGGTACTGTACTTCCCATCACCAGGACTCAATTCTGGCAGACTGGTTTCCCTGAATCCCTTACACTCCAACAGCACATTGTCATATAAACCACTTGCCTCCACTCCTATTCAACACACGACTGTTGGATATCCAAGTCCCTCACATACAAAATCATCTTTACCCCCCCTCCTTCCAACCTTTCCTAGGACGACCCCCTCCCCTGTCTTCTCTCCACTACAGATTTATACACCTTGCAAGTCATCTATTTTGCTTTATCCTTTATAAATGTCCAAACCACCTCAGCAAGGATCTTGTTTTCCAGACTTGCCGACCCAAGGCAGCTGGTGTACAATGCCGTCCATTTGTCCATGAATGTGATCTCCCAGAATACTGTACTGGAGATTCTGAATACTGCCCAGAAGATGTATTTAAGGCTGATGGTCATGAGTGTTTAGCAGGACAGGTCAGTTAAAATATTTCATACTTAAGTATTTGTCTTAAATTTTCATTATTGCTTCATATTTCTCATTTATATAACTCATATTTGTCACTTGTTTATTTATTTTATTGTAATATAAGAGAAGTTGTATGAGAAGCTGGTGAGTTCAGCCCTGCCCCAGGAACATACAGTAGACAGTTGATTCGCACACAAGCTGTTAACACTTTTTTTTTTAACTTTAACACTGCTGCAAAATTGTGGTGTATGCCATATTAATCAATTGACACAATGGAGTACATGAAGGGTAAAATTTGGCATGCGCTTGGTTCTTTTCCTTCTGTCTTGCAGTGAGCCTATGGGTGAATCCATTGTTTTATGAGGAGGCCCACATGATGTATGCAACCTCCCTCACCTCTGTGCCCCATTCGTCTGCACCCAATACCATACTCAACCTATGTTAGTGAATCTGTTTTTTATCTTTTCATCATTGCATCTTATCTCTGGACAGTAACCATGCCCCCCAAGAAGAATGTGAGTGATCTTGGAAGTGTAAAAGCATAAAAGTGCATAGGCATGACAGTCTTGGTGTTTTGCAGATAATAGAGATACAGTGGAACCTCTACTTGCGAGTTTAATCCGTTCTATGACCTTGCTCGCAACTGGATTTCCTCATTTGCAGAGTCAATTTTCCTCATTTAAATTAACTGAAATGCAATTAATCCATTCCAGTGGAATTCTGTGCTTCAATAATTTCGCTAATATCAACTCTACGGCTTATTTATCTATCTCACTTCATCTATTATGACATAATAAGCAATATGAATAACATAGAAACCTGATATATATGTACTCTAAAATTAATAAAATATGTGGTATGGGCGGTGTCGGCGGTGGACGAGTTTGTCTGGAGACCAGACAAAATACTTCTTGAATAATTTCGCTAATATCATCTATACGACTTATTTATCTATCACAGTTCATCTAATATGACATAATAAACAATATAAATAACATAGAAACCTGATATATACTCTAGAATGAATAAAATATGTCATTACATATGTGGTGGCGGCGGCCGATGAGTGTTTGTCTGGAGACATGACAAAATACTTCTTGAATATTTTGCTAATATCATCTGTCTGGCTTATTTATCTGTCTCACTTCATCTAATATGACATAACAAACAATGTAAATAACATAGAAACCTGATATATACTCAAGAATGAATAAAATATGTCTTTATATATGTGGCAGCAGCCAATGAGAGTATGTCTGGAGACAGGACAAAATACCCCTTGAATATTTCATTATCATCAACTCTATGGCTTATTTATCTATCACAGTTCATCTAATATGTAATAATAAACAATATAAATAACACAGAAACCTGATATATACTCTAGAATGAATAAAATATGCCATTATGGAACAAGTGGAGGCAGCCACAACCGCTCCCTCTATGTTGCGGTAAACACTGCCATCTATTGACGGCCTTTTGAAGCCGTCTATTATTATAATTATTATTATGTAGAACATTATTATTATATATGTATTATTATTATACATATTATATTATTATTCTTATTGTATCATTATACTTGCTATTATTATTATACATATCATCATTATTATTATTACAATATAAATAAATTGAGTTTTTATCAAAAGAATGAGAGATTTACTGTGACCTGAATCTGTATGTGGAGTAAATATTGTAACGCATTCGGACGTTATTTTAAATGGCGAGTGGAAATGGAATTACATAGCCCAAAAAGATCGAAGTTTGGTCTTGGCAGTCAATTTAAGGTTTTTTACTCGTAACGAATTCTAAAACTTATCTATTCTGCACTATACTTCCATTCACAATTTAATGATAGTGTGAGAAATAATGATGAAAAATATTTCTTACTGGAGGGGTGCTAATTGTTTTGGGTCATGAACCTCCGTGAATTTATGCTGATTTGTTAAAAAAAAATAAAAAAAATAAAAATAAAAGAATTCTTTTCACACAAAAATTGAAATTTCTATAGATATCCAATAATAAAATAATAACTATTCCGAATGCAACGAGCTCGACAGGCTCATTGACTCCTTGAACATAGCCAACATTGAAATTTCTCTGTTTAGGAAATAAAATTTCACCATTGACTGATCGTATTGAAAAAACATTCATGTATATATCTTCCATTCTATCAAGGTCACCTATAATACATGAGATAAGTAGTAAAACATGATACATCAAGGTGGCTAAGCCTGAGCATCAGTTGAACGGATTATTATGATAGTTTTTATTTTTGTTGTGTACTAAGAGCTTTCCATCTAAATTTGGGAAAGTTAAATAGACTGGTCAAGTATTGAAATAATAGATACTAAAATCAAACAATGATCCTACAGCTTCAAGAACCACTGGCTGACGACCATGCTCTCTATGGAATTTTAATCGTATCTAACAACAAAAAATCGACATTGATGCTGTATTTGGAAACTCACATGGAATGCTTCGCAAGTAGAGGTTCCACTGTATTACATAAGCTATAGGGTGGTGGACATGTCATCAAGGTGGTGCAAGCCTGTGGCCTAATGAGGCATCAGTTCACACAGGAAGAGAAAGAATGAGGTGAAGATATGAACTTGTGTAATGTGTAACCCAGGCTTTGACCTCCTAGGTTGGAACAGATAAAATGAGACTGGAAAGTTATTGAATGATTAGATTGAGCAAAACAAACCAATGATCCACAGCTTTCCATGTTAGCCCACTAGGGCTACACCATCTCTCTCCACTCAGTTTAAAATCACCAACATACACCAACAATCAGAATTTAAGGTAAGAAATGTTTGTGTGACATTGTACCAATAAATATTTTATTAACCCTTTGACTCTTGTAGCCGTATATATACATCTTACGAGCCAGTTTTCGACATATAATACACCAAAATTCTAGTGGCTTCAAATCAAGTGAGAGAAAATTGGTAGGCCTACATGTGAGAGAATGGGTCTGCGTGATGGGTGTGCACAGTATGAAAAAAATCGGGGACTCAGTAGTGCATTGTGGGAATGCCATTTTATTAGTCCTTGTTCACTGTGCCTCACAGTAAGAAGTACCTAAATCCTGGGCAAATTGGAGGTCTTCTGTTCCCAAGTGATAGTTCTAACACCGATGGAAGTGCCAGTGAAAGTGAATTTCATGGTTTTGTGGAGGGTGTGACCGAAAGCAGTGTCCAGGAAAGTGTAATTAGTGATGAAAACCCAGACGACACACAACCTTCCACCTCTGGTGCTGGGCCGTCTCATTCATGTTCACCTGTACCAAGGCGAAAGAGGAAACTATTTCCCTGTGTACAGGACTCAGATGTGAGCAGTGAAAATGATAGTTATAGTGATTTCCAAGCTATTGAAAGCAGTTCGAGTTGCGACAGTGAGGGGTAATATTCTCCAGTGAAGTGGCAGTATGTACGACACAGCATGCGTTCTGGTAGTGTGCCATATGCCATTCCAAGAGGAAGTAGTAAATCTTGGAGTACATCCTGTGACCCTACACCATGAACTGATAGTGAAGATGATGATATTGTTACAATGGGGATGGATAATGTGCGTGAGGCAACAGGTAGTGATGGTGGTGTTGGAGGTGGCATGCGTCATGTGGCACCAGCAGCGGGCCATGCTGCTACCCACGCTGCTAACTCAGCACAGCCACAACAAAGGCCACCCTCAACCACCCCCACACTCCTACAACCTGCACAACCACAACCACCTGTCGATATCCAGTACCCACCAGCAGACGGCATCTGGGATTGGCAGGAAGGTCCCAATTTTGTTCCTAATCCCCATCAGTTTGATGAAAGACAAAGTGGAATATGGCAATTGTGTACACTTGGGAACAATGCCACTGAACTGGAATGCTTTCACTTATTCTTCGATGAACCCCTGATGGACATTATTGTCAGGCAAAGTAACACATACTTTGAATACATGATGGCAAACACAGTTGTTTCACCAAGATTACGCCTACACCAGTGGAAGGAAACAACTGTGGCAGAGATGTATCTGTTCTTTGCCACAAAATTCTTATGCCACATGTGTATAAGCACACTGTCACCACACACTGGTCTTTGGACTGCCTGATTTCAACCTCAGGTTTCAGTGATATAATACCAGTGAATTGATTTCTGCTACTGTTACGTATGCTACACTTCTCAGACAAGACAAGCCCTGACAGAAACGACAGGTTATATAAGATCAGGAATGTGTTGATGTACCTGAACAAAAGTGCTGTATATATTTTTATCCCTTCAGGAAGCCTGTTAGTGATGAATCTTTGATTTTGTTCAAAGGCAGACTGTTGTTCAAGCAGTATATACCAAGCAAGAGGAAACACTTTGATATAAAGTTATTTATACTGTGTGATTGCAAAAGTAGTCTGGTTTTGGATATACAGTGGACCCCCGCATAACGATTTTAATCCGTGCAAGAGGGCTCATTGGTATGCGAAATAATCGGTATGCGAATGAATTTTCCCCATAAGAAATAATGGAAATCAAATTAATCCGTGCAAGACACCCAAAAGTATGAAAAAATTTTTTTTACCACATGAAATATACATTTTACTACACACAAAGAGAAGGATACATGCACAATAGTAGAGTAGTACATGCACAGTATATATTGTGCATGTACTAGTCTACTAAATGAAGAATAAATGACACTTACCTTTATTGAAGATGCAGCAATGACTGATGAGACACTGTGTCCTGGGAGTGCCTTTTCCTCCTGAGTACTGTAGGTCCTGTTTGGTATTTTCTTCCAGAACATGCCTTATCACACTGTGTATGTCACTACGATTCTTAAATCTCTCAAACCAATCTTTGCTGGCTTTAAATTCACCAATATGAGCACTAGTTCCAGGCATTTTTCCCTGTTCACCTGGGTGTTAGTCGACTGGTGTGGGTTGCATCCTGGGAGACAAGATTAAGGACCCCAATGGAAGTAAGTTAGACAGTCTTCGATGACACTGACTTTTTTGGGTTATCCTGGGTGGCAAATCCTCTGGGGTTAATTGTTTCT